AAATGCATGGTAAAAGATCCAATTACCCTACAACGCCATAATTGTGGAGGATATTTTTTTAAATAAATATTTTTATACAATGCATACTATTTTTAATATACCAAACCAAATAATGCAAAAGAAATAATCTATGCATAACTAAGCTAATATAAGCATTACTAATAAAATTTATTAAACATTATTTTTATACATTATGTCAAACGATTCGATATTTGGTAATAGATTTGAAATGTTTGTTTTTTCTTTATATACAATTCTTGAAATTGAAGTTGAAGATAAGATCATGTTTGATCCTTATGCTTGCAAAGATTATTTGGAATAATATTCATTTTTTAATATACTCTTTTAAAAATCATGAAATAAGATTTATAACCAGCAATAATCTCTCTAAAAGAGTTATTTACATAATAGTAGTCACGTAATGTCATAAGAATCTCATGTGTGAAGTACGATACACTACATCAAGCAGTAGCTTAATAGCTTAATTGTCGTTAAAATAAATATATATTTTAAGCAATAATTAATACTCTTAATGTTTTTCTCTAAATTTTTTAGCGGTATTAGTTTTAATGATACTTAACTAATATCGGTAAAGAGTTAACACTCTTTATTAATATTTATATTTGTTGCCGCTGAAAGTTATTTTTATTATAGTGATATGTGATAAATTAATTATTTACCAACTTATCTTTTTCTTTATAGAATTTTGGAGTCAATTCCCCAAATGGTCACCCAAGATAAGAGAATTGCCTTAAAATATCATTATGTTTCATTTAGGACCAAAATATCATTCAACTATTACTATTTTCCTTAAGATATACTTGACAATTCAAAAACATCACTATCTCCTAGTTGACATAACATGTCATTAAAGTTTTTTTTAAATAATAGACTAATTTAATTCATTAAACTCATTTAACTAAAATTATGATCAAATTATTTTTAATTTTTTAATTAATTTATTAAGAATATATTTTCATACTTAAAATCTTTTATCATAATTAAACCTTTTATTTTTTTATGTTATGTAAAATGCGTTTTTAAAACGTAGTATAATCTCATTAATTTTAAATACTTATAAATACATACATAAAAAAATATTGATATACAATCACTCAAACGCTAATTTACTTCAGTTAATCATAAATTATATAATAAATCAATAATATTTAAGATCGATTAATTATTAAAAAAAAATTATTTGGATACTTTGAAATCCATATATACTTAAAATATCTTTTTTTTTTAAAAAAAAGAAACTAGTAAGTGAATAATATTTATAGAAAATAAAATTTTGATCTTTATTTATCAATATATTAATCTCATAGACATATAATATGTATATACTATCGAATTAAATTAGTAAAGTCAATCAATTATTAGTTTATTTATTGATGTTTAATTGTATGAAAAGTTATAATATAATATAATATAGAATAAAAATAAAAATAAAATTAAAAAAAAGTGAAATAAATAATTTTCTTTTTCTTACCAATTTTTTTACCTTACAAATTTATCTAAATACTTTTATTAAAAGAATTGTTTAAAATTTTCAAATAATTTAGTTAGAAATTTTAAAATTTTCAGGTAATAAGTGCACAGAGAAATTTTTCATTGATGTTTGGTAACAATATATAAAGTTACTAGACTTTTTAAATTAGTTTTCTTATAATCTTCATAAATTCTCATGTAATTTGTATATTTATTTTGTAGAGACATAAGTTTGATGAATAAATAGGTCTATTATTTTTTTAAAATGATTATTTAATAACAAAGCATATCAACTAAAATTTAAGGAGACTTTTGAGGTATTTCGTATTTCTAGTGGATAAAAAATATAATATTATTCACTTTCTTTTTTTTAAAAAAAATATAATATCGAAAGCATAAATTGCAAATACAATTAACATTATTGTTATAGTTAATTGACCTTTAATATTATTGATTTATTATATAACTCGTGATTAATTGATGTAAATAGCATTAATGAGTGATTTATATTTTTTTTGAATGTATATGTTTATAAGTATTCAAAATTGATAAAGTTATAGTACATTTTAAAAATATATTCTTCATAACATAAAAAATAAAAAGTTCAATTATGAAAAAAAAATTTAAGTATGAAAATTTATTCTTAATAGATTACATAAAGTAAAAATAATATGATCATTATTTTAGTTAAATAGGTTCAATGAATTAAACTAGTCTATTATTAAAAAAAGATTTTAATGACATGTCATGCCAGCTAGGAGACGGTGATGGTCCATTTACTGTAGCTTACTTCTATTTAGGGTTTTATGTGATTTAAATAAAAGAAACTAAATGAAAAGTAAGTCATCAAGAAGCCAAATTGAGGAAAATGAGAACATTCAGTAGGTAGAAGCACAAAGACTGGCCAGTGTGCAAATTAAAAAATATGGTTATTTTGATACGAAAAATAGGAATCGATAAATTTATGATTTTGAAAAAAATATCTTTTATTTTTGATTGAATTAGAGTTCTTAGCACCCACACTTGGGAGTCAAGATTTAAAGATGATTATGAGGAATTTCTTAATAATTACTCATTTTTCTCTTGTTACATATTAAATATTTAAGTATATGCTATTTTATTAAATGCGTAGTTAAACGGTAAAAAAAATTTGTCAAAACTCCAAAAGGATATATCACTTTCTTTTAAAACTAAAACGGTAAAATCGCTCACGATGTAGCGACTTTGGCCGTCTGAAAAAGCAAAATCGCTGCAATAGCAGCGACTTATTAAAAAAATTATATATTTTTTTTAATTTTAAAAATCGCTCCACTTGGAACGACTTATTTAAATTTTATTTTATTTTTTAAAAAGGAAATTTAAGAAATCACTGCTACAACAACGATTTTACTGTTTTGGTAAAAAGAAAAAATTGATATGCCCGTTTAGAATCTTTAACATTTTTTTTACACTTTTGACTCCGGATCTTGTTTATGATAATATTCTATGTTTAAAATTAAATTTGTTGTTTTGTTTATGTATATATTAAATTAATGGCTTTTATTTCTAATGAAGTGGGTTTATTGTTTCGTTAATTATTCTTGTCTTTTAAATATTTTCAAACTAAAGCAGATATCTACGCTAGAATTCACCCATTTATTTCGATTTGATCTTGAGATAAGAAAATGAGGTTTATTAACAATAATTAATTAATTAAAATATATAAAAATAACACTACACACATTTAAGATGATAAATATCAAGTTATAAACATACTTTTTAATAATAAACTACTTATAGCATATTATTATCAAGTTATAGCATATCAAGAAAAAATATATTATTCTCATTAATTTTTTTAAATAATAATTAATTTATTTAAATAATTACATTTATTATTCAGTTACCTTTTTTAAACCAATGTTTTTGATTAAATTAATTATTTTAAGTTACATTTTGTAAACAAAACTCTTTAACTAGAGTAAATAAAATTAAACATTATATAGTTACCTTTTTAAAAAAAATTACAAAATAATAGGGATTTTATCATTCCATAATTAATAACTACCCATCAATATCTAAAATAATAACAGTTTTCTTTTTAAAACTGTCACACGTTATTTAATAAAAAAATTTATATTCCCCAAATATATTGTTCTTCCCCAAATCTTCTTTTTGCACGCCTAACATTTAATCTTCACCAAATTTGGCTCAAAAAACTCCCACTTTTAACATTTTTCTTCACCAATTCTTCCACTTTTGCAGTCAAATTTTTCATTTTTGCACTCAAAAATTGTATAATGTCGAAGAGAGACAATGAAACCCCGCGAAAAAGTAGAAGGTTGAATGATGAAGCAAGATCCGAGGAATTTCATGCTCCATCTTTAAACATTTTGTCACAAACTCAGTCTTCATCTGCAAAAGACAAATCTAGAACAGAAAAATCAAAAATGAAAAAAAAAACAAACAGCCAAAGAAAATCGAGAAGAGAAAAGGGAAAGAAAAGCAAACCGTAGTAATCAATTATCACACCAATCTTCATTTTAATTACACATCAAAAGATAATTACTATTACGTAATATTTAGTATCAGAAAAACATCGTAATTGTATCACAAAAAATACATCAAATCAACATCTGTAATATAACAGAAATAAAAAAAAACGACACATTCTATACATGACAACAAAAAAATATATATAATTACAACCAATAATTTATACTTAAAACATAACAAATCATAAATAAAACTAACTTGATGAATTCCATTTGCCACCATGTTTAATTAAAATTGACACAATTTTCTCAATCAAATCAAATCTAAACGTTTTCAACGTCAAATTTTAATTATTTTTCAAAAAAAAAATGAAAAAATATATCAATATTCAAATATAAGAATAATCCTCACTTTCTGAAAAAAAAATTCAAACAATGCACGTTTAAAGAAAGAAGATAACAGATTATAGTATTTTAAGGATTAAAATCATAACTTATTAACATTTAAAACGAATTGAGACATTAATTAAAATATTTTCCAATCCCTTAAAATGTGCACATTAGTTATCGGTTAATAATAATACCTAATTTCACGCACATTATCTAATTTTAATTAATCCATTTTTTTATTATCTAATTTTACAAAATTAAAATTAACATTATTTTCTTTTAAAAAAATGTTATAACTTGATATATTAAATGTTATAGAATGAAAATCATAAAAAATTAAAATTAACAATATTTTCTTTTAAAAAAATGCTATAACTTGATATATTAAATGTTATAGAATGAAAATCAAACTCTTATGCCATTTAATATATCAAGTTATAGCATTTTTTAAAAAGAAAATAATGTTAATTTTAATTTTATAAAATTAGATAGTAAAAATAACAATAAAAATGAATTAATTAAAATTAGATAATGTGCGTGAAATTAGTTATTATTATTAACTAATAACTAATGTGCACTTTTTAAGGGATTTGAAAATATTTTAATTATAGATAGACACCATAAATGTCTCAATTCGTTTTAAATGCTAATAAATTATGATTTTAATCCTTAAAAAATTTTAATCTATTATCTTCTTTCTTTGAACGTGCATTGTTTGATTTTCTTTCAGAAAGTAAGGATTATTCTTATATTTGAATATTGATATATTTTTTCGTTTTTTTTTGAAAAATAATTAAAATTTGACGTTGAAAACGTTTAGATTTGATTTGATGGAGAAAATTGTGTCAATTTTAATTAAACATGGTGGCAAATGAAATTCATCAGGTTAGTTTTTATTTATGATTTGTTATGTTTTAAGTATAAATTATTGGTTGTAATTATATATATTTTTTTATTGTCATGTATGGAATGTATCGTTTTTTTTTATTTCTGTTATATTGCAGATGTTGATTTGATGTATTTTTTGTGATACAATTACAATGTGTTTCTGATACTAAATATTACGTAATAGTAATTTTCTTTTGATGTGTAATTAAAATGAAGATTGGTGTGATAATTGATTCTACGATTTGCTTTTCTATCCCTTTTCTCTTCTTCTCGATTTCCTTTGGCTGTTTTTTTTTTTCATTTTTCATTTTTCTGTTCTAGATTTGTTTTTTTGCAGATTAAGACTGAGTTTGTGTTTGTGACAAAATGTTGAAAGATGGAGCATGAAATTCCTCGGATCTTGCTTCATCATTCAACCTTCTACTTTTTCGCGGGGTTTCATTGCCTCTCTTCGACATTATACAATTTTTTGAGTGCAAAAGATGAAGATTTGAGTGCAAAAGTGGAAGAATTGGTGAAGAAGAATGTTAAAAGTGAAAGTTTTTTGAGCCAAATTTGGTGAAGATTAAATGTTAGGCGTGCAAAAAGAAGATTTGGTGAGGATTTGGGGAATATAATTTTTTTTTGAACAACGTGTGACAGTTTTAAAAAGAAAACTGTTATTATTTTAGATATTGATGGGTAGTTATTAATTATGGAATGATAAAATCCCTATTATTTTGTAATTTTTTTAAAAGGTAACTATATAATGTTTAATTTAATTTACACTAGTTAAAGAATTTTGTTTAAAAAAGGTAACTTAAAATAATTAATTTAATTAAATACATTGATTGAAAAAAGGTAATTGAATAATAAATGTAATTATTTAAATAAGTTAATTATTATTTAAAAAAATTAATGAGAATAATATATGTTTTCTTGATATGCTATAACTTGATAATAATATGCTATAAGTAGTTTATTATTAAAAAGTATGTTTATAACTTGATATTTATCATCTTAAATTTGTGTGTAGTGTTATTTTTATTACATAAAATACTATATACCTAATTTACACCAAAAATATTTGAGGCCCTCACGCCCATCTAATAGTTCGAGTTAGAAATAAAAGATAAAAATATTCAATTGATCGTCTTTATAAATTACAATTGCATAAATTATATTACATATTACACTTCATCGATTTTTAAATACTCTTCACAAAGATCCATTTTTCCGACTGTTATTGCATGTAAGGTTGAAAAGTGAAAATATGGGAATGGGGTTTCATAAAAGTCAAAAATACTACTTTGAGAAGAAGTTGTTTGAGGGATTTTATGACATAAAAAAAGTTGTTTTGGTTAAATTTTGCATTATAAGAGAAAAAATTGTCAGAGGAAAAAAATAATAATCATTTAAAAAAAAAGGAATCTATATATATATATATAAATCTGGATATGAAAGTGTTGATGTGGCACCCCTCATAGGTCAGCATTAGAATTTATATATATATATATATATATTTTTAAAGCTTTTTTTTCTCTCTTAATTTTCTCTTGATATATTAGTTAAATTAAATAAATATCCTCTATTCATTATTTCTCTTTAAATTCCTCCATTAATACCTTTATTATTTTAGGTATATATAAGTTACAATTTATCCCTTTAAATATTTAAACCTTTCCTTATTCCTTCTTAAAAGTATTACTAAATTATAATTAAGGCATTAATGACCAATATAAGTTACAATTGTAGGTATTGATTACTCCATTACTCTTTTAATTTATTTATTCAATAGTTAAGAATTTATGGATTACTATAAATACTAAAACCATGTCATCTTCACCAATGCAAGAATTTTTTATTTTATTTTCCCTTTCTTTATCATATTTATACTAAAGTACATCACTTTGGTTATTTCTAATTTTATAATATATAGTTTATTTGTTACTAACTTTTACAATGTGGAAGATAAGATGAGCATTTGACAATTTTGAAAATTCAAATTCAATGAGAACAATATCTAATTTGAGTTACCAAGGTACATCACTTTGATTAT